CAGGTTTATGAGATTAAATAATATGTTTAATACAGGTTTATGAGATTAAATAATAAGTTTCCTTCAGGTTTATGAGATTAAATAATATGTTTACTACAGGTTTATGAGATTAAATAATATTTTTACTTCAGGTTTATGAGATTAAATAATATGTTTACTACAGGTTTTTGAGATTAAATAATAAGTTTCCTTCAGGTTTATGAGATTAAATAATATTTTTACTTCAGGTTTATGAGATTAAATAATATGTTTAATTCAGGTTTATGAGATTAAATAATATGTTTAATTCAGGTTTATGAGATTAAATAATAAGTTTCCTTCAGGTTTATGAGATTAAATAATATGTTTCCTTCAGGTTTATGAGATTAAATAATATGTTCACTTCAGGTTTATGAGATTAAATAATATGTTCACTTCAGGTTTATGAGATTAAATAATATGTTTCCTTCAGGTTTATGAGATTAAATAATATGTTAACTTCAGGTTTATGTTTATGTTCTTTATATAGTATAGTGCTTTAATATGCTTCAAAAACATTTATTTCAGGTCAAGAGATTTAAGAAATCTTGGCCGAAGAACACTAATGTGATAAGGTGTATAGGGACAATTATATTTTAAGGAACACCAAATTGATTGATATTGGGACAAAGATGATGGGGACAGAATACCATTAGACCCTAAGACCCAATGATAGTCCAGGGGTCAGTGAACTGGTTGGATTAAGGTTTCTGCTCGGATAAGATCGATTTATTCCACTTTATCTACTAGTATTCTTAAGTTGAGAGTAAGCTTCGAAAAAAGAACAATCATTTTTGACGTAGTGTCCCTCCAAATATCGATAGCGAAGAAAGAAATAATTTTCAGCACAAATTGATTATATTAATTTTTTGTTAATTCTAGGTTATAATTTAAGCGACACAATTTCTGGGCCGAGCGCTGAGGGTTCAACAAGCTAGGTGGCCGAATGCTGCGGATTAAATAGGCTAGGGGGCCAAACGCCGCGGCTAGGACAGACTAGGTTACGCTATGAACCAAAATGGTAGAAATGGAAGAAAAGTGGGTATGTCCTAGAGAACGATTTTTGGACTCCCCCGNGTTAAGACAATTTCTGGGCCGAGCACTGCGGCTAGGACAGGCTAGGGGGCCGAGCGCCGCGGCTAGGACAGGCTAGGGGGCCGGGCGCTGCGGCCACATGATCAATTAAATCCAATTTTAAGATAACTGGGTCTGTCCTAGAGAACCATTACTGAATTAACAAACTACTGAATAACAAATTACTGAATGAACAAGGTGGTAGTCGTATGGGGGGGAAGCGGCCACTTAAATTCTTTAATACTATCTGAGCACATCTAAATTTCTTAAGTTATGGCCATTGCATTTGGATTAAATTACACGAGGAAAAAAGTTGACACTTGAGATTGTTCACGTTCGATTGATAAGAATATTCACATTTTTCATTCAGATGTGAAACAGAAGATAACTGTTACTGTTGTATCATTTTAAAGTACTTCCACCGTGCATTACTTCCCACTTGTTGTTCAGAGATAGGGCAACTGTTGAACTGACTGTGACACTGTCTCTGGCACTGCACTGTAGAGTAGTCAGTAGTGTACACTCGGGCCCAGGCAAACTAGCAGCAGACATTAGAGTCCTATTGCGGGTTTACTCTTTTTTCCGGCGGTCTGCGGGTTTGGTTCGGAGGATTTCTCTCTGTTATAAAACCGTCTGCCAGACATTTAATTTCTCTAGAGTTTCTAGAGGACACAAGAATAAATCAAAATGGCTTTTTTAAGAGAAGGAAGAGAAGCGGGGGGGGGGGCATCATTTTGGCGTGCTTTAAAACAGTCTTATCAATTTTTAAGAAGGCCACGCGTGGTCGACTTTGAAGTATCGCAACGCCTTGGGCTTAGATTTTACCGCTCTAACTCACTTTTACTTTTCTGTAGCCATTTACATGTACAGTTTAGCACTAAAGTACTTGTTGTTTGGTTTTTACAAAGTAATTGGCAAAATTCTCATCGATTGTTTCTTGATGAACATATGCAGAGATCAATATATCAAGTGTCCCTCCTAGTCTGTAACATATCTGTCCCTTTTCTTGCATATATAAATATGTTTTCCGTTTGAGTGTCCATTTTGGGAATCGTTTTGCTTTAAAAATGAATCGATTTTTTTCGAAAAGATCGTTTTAAAAATAGGTGGGACCGTAAAAGAGGTGTTGTTGCCCAAGGCACGTAGCTAGGGGGCACAGGGGCACCCACGAAGAGGGGCACACTTTCTGAGACAAAAAAAAGAAAGAGGGGAGAAAAATTGGCATAAATCTAATTTTTGTTACCAATTTGGGTTTCCAGCGAACAAAAGTTTCGCGAAAAATGCAAACATTTCAGGTCGTATTTTGCAAAATTTTCCGAAAATTTCGCGAAAATGCGAAAATATTTTTTTGCGAAATGCGAAATTTTTTTCAAAAACCATGAGTTTTATTTCTGCAACAATTATAATTGCTCAAATGAACTCTCATGCTCTGATATCTCAATGTTTGAAGTTTTATTATGTCATATAAATAATTTCTCTTCCTTTACTTTATTAAATGTTTAATGAAGAGAATTTGATTTTGCTAGCTATTTTTTTATTTTGTTTCTTCTTGTGGTAGATTTTATATGAAAATGAGTCTTATTTTTCCTCAAAATTTTCGCATTATTTTTTTCGCGAAATTTTCGCATCTTTTCGCAAAATTTTCGCGTTTTTTTGCAAAATTTTCGCAAAATTTTCGCATTTTTTCGCTAAGTTTCCGCAATTTTTCGCGAAATTTTCGCATTTTATATTTGCGACAAGTATATTTCTACCCAGTACAAATTTATGGGGGTTTGTTTACAAATATTGCAGACATACTAGTTGAATGATGAATTTTAAAGGATAGGATTAGAACGAAGATTAATAGTTGAATTGCTTGCTACCGACATGTAAGTGATAAAATGATGACAATCAGACTCCCTTTACACACAAAGAACACATTAAAGTTAGAACTATTAAAACTATTAAATCTCTTAGGATGACGGCGATACTTTGGCGAATTCTATATGTGTCAACAATCAACACGAGGACCGTTTATGATACAAGCAGTGAAAATCTCGGTATGATTTCTCAGGAGTCAGGAAGGGTGGGGTATTATTATTAAAGGGAGTGTTCGCGAAAAATGAAAGGGGATAGGCTTAATGCGATAAAAAAGCGCTTTTATTCGCTACCAATCTTACTTTTATCAGTTGCTACTATAAGGAGAAAGTTGTTAAAAACGACTCACACCGAAGAACGCAGCGTCCATACAAATTCGGAAAGATGTAACATTCAACTCGGATCGTAAACAAAACAATTTAATTCCAGACAAATCATTCAGATATTACAAACAGTAGTCATCGATTATTTTTGACGCATTCGTATATAGTTAATATTTCATAATATTTTTGATTTTATTTTTTTATAATTTTCGCTGGCGCTGGATTTTCGAACATTCCTGGAAAATATGAAAATGTCGTCTTCATTATCAAAAATTCTCGAAACAGGAATAAAGTAACTCTCAGATCATGAAAAATACAAAATATTATGAAATATCAACTATTTACGAATACGTCGAAAAATAATCGATGACTATTGGTTATAATATCTGAATGATTTGTTGGGAATTAAATTGATTTGTTTACGATCCTAGTTGAATGTTACATCTTTCCGAATTTGTATGGACGATGCGTTCTTCGGTGTGAGTCGTTTTTAAAAATGTTCTCCTTATAGACACGACAGATAGAAGTAAGATTAGTAGCGAATAAAAGCGCTTTTTTATCGCATTAAGCCTACAGTCCCTTTCATTTTTCGCGAACACTCCCTTTAAATTTAATCAGATGTTTCCATACGCCACTTACCATTTTTAATTTGTTTTAAAACGTATTTTTGTTTTGAGATTCGTATTTAAAATTTTTTTTAACCATTAATTTTGTTTTGTTTCAGGATCTCTCTTCGAACTGTCATAGAGAAATCGATAGGTTAGTGCAAATTGCAGTTACTAATTCTTTGGACAACTGAGACAAAGTTCCCATGCCTGTGATTATTAGATATACTTTTTGATAATTATGTATTACTAATTTTTTCAATGCAATAAAGTTTTAAAATTTTGTAAATTGTATGCTGAATTGATTGTGAATTAGTGGTCTATATTACAGTGATTCGCAGAAAACTCTGGAATNCGCTATGAAAACCAGCTTGGAAACCCGTGTTTCACAGATGGGTTTTGGAAATTTTGTGGATATAAATATTTTTGTTATGAATTGTTATGATATTTAGTTTCTTCATTTTTTTTTGGAATAATCAAAATCTACACAAATGTTAAGACCCCAAAAAAGAAACTCAAAGGTTTCGTTCAACGATACTCTTTTAAATTTCGGGCTCTGCTTTTTGGGGTCTTAACATTTTGTAGATTTTGATTTAAGAGATTTAAAAAAATGAAGAATAGGAAGAAATAAAATAAAATAATATTTCATCATAAAAATATTGATTTTCGTAAAACTACCTAACCCCATACTAATATATTCTATATTCTTATATATATATATCTATGTGCTGGGCTCATAGCGCATACTGACATACAGGGTGTCCCACGAAACATGACATTTAATAAACAGTTATTTTTAGTTAAACAAATCTTTTGCTTGATTATATTTTACTTTGAAATCAATTTTAATATAACATGACTCCCATATAATATATTTATTGCTCTTTGGTATCAAACAACTGAGCAAATAATGGAAAAAGACATTCTAAACTATTCACCAACTGTCATGTTTCGTGGGACACCCTGTATATCCAGTTATTTATAAAGTTTCTTATCTTTTTCGCTAACACAGAATGTTAAATCTGTTAATCTGTTATCAAGGGTGGGGGACAGGTTTGAATATGACGATCCTAAATCCCCCCCCCCCTAAGGATTAAGGGGGGTGTATACAGGGGTATAAGATAAACCCTTAAGTGCAAATTTTTAAAAGATTTTTTGAATTTTTAACAAATTTTGAATTTTGGATGTTTTTTCTCAATCCAATTCACATCAACCATGTCGTCATGTCCAGTTGAACTCGTTGAACACCCTCTGAGATAGATGCACAGTGTTTACACATACTAACAACAAAGATAATTAATTCGTCTGCATATTAAATTTTCTTTTATGTTTTAACAAGAATCATGAACCAGTCATACTATATTACAGCATTACTAACAAACACCACAAGTCAGAATTTTTGGGCCTTTGTTTATTAGTTAAATGTTCCCTCCAGCTTTAAACTTATTTTTTCTTTGCCAAATCATTGAAAAAACCATTCACGAACTACATTCAAGACAGAAAGCCACCTTCAACCTTCAAATATTCAGCTTAAGATTTTTAGGTTGCCAATAAAGTAAATAAAACGAAAAAAAGTTTTAAGTGCAAAACGAAAACTTGATTAAACGTTTCAAAACGAAAAACTTAAATATTTGTTTTCCTTTTGAAAAATAAAAAACCTTGACAAATACGTTTTACGTTTCATAACGAAAAGCTGAAAAAAATGTGGTTTCCATTTTAAACAAAAAGATTTCCTTACATGAATACCTTAAGATGAATATTTATTCCAGAGGATGTTTATTTTGTGTGACCTCTGGAGGATTTAGTAGCTATTTGTCACCTTCATAACAATTTTAATCTACCTTTCAAGCTGCAATACTAGATCAAGTATCTAGAACTGTATATGCGTGAACATGAGAACATTGATAATACATACTTGTTAATTGTATGTCAAAATGGTGGAATATCATTCTAGATTTTGCTGTATTTAAAAGTTGAACAAGAATTGAGTCTTTGCCACAAACTCAAATTTTCATATCTCTACATGTTTGCAACCTGATGCAAAGTGCAAAACTTTGATATATTCTGAAGTCTACAAAATGCGTTTTGAAAAAGCCCGAAAAAGCTCATCCCTGCAGTTACTAGATGTGAAAATAGAAATGCAGACAGCAGAAAATCACTGATAAACAATTTATTTCATAAATTTTCATACATACTGTTAAACTTGAAAGGAACCATCCAAAGAGGGGTATCAATACTCATAGTAGTCAAATCACGCACCAATAAAAGAACAAAATAATTAAACATTTTTATTAATAGTGTAACAAATAAAATTAACGAAGTTAAACAAACATTGAAGTGAAGCTTTGTAGATATGCTGCTACTACAGTGTCCACAGGTTCTGGTTTCCTGTCCTTTTCTCCATCCTGATCCACAGGGTTGGGTTTCCATGGGTCCCTGTGATCTTTGTTCTATCCCGGGCTTCATTGATCCACAGGTTTAGGTTTCCTGTTCTCTTCTCCAGAGCAGAATAAACGTTTTCCCAGGCTTTTGGTGATACAGTTCGAGTTACCTACAGTGGTAATAATGCCTGCATTGATTTCAAAACTTCAAATGATGGCAGAGCAATGAGTAGGGCCATCTGGTATTCAAAGAGATGTTAGCCAGGTCATGTTCCCGTGGAAGGGGGAGTACGAAAAGGTACAAGAGAGGACAACAGACAAACTCTCCTAATCCTGAAAATATCAGCTCCAGAACGTGATAAGAAGCCGTGTTTCCACAGGATTAGGTTTCCATGAGTCTCTATGATCTTTGTTTTATTCCAGGGCTTCAAGCCATCAATCTACAGGTTCGGGTTTGCTGCAATCCTTGTTTGTCCAATGGCTCGGATCCCATCTTGCAGTTTCTGTTCCCAAAGAGTGACTGCTTCTTAGATCGTCTGTTGTACCATGGGAACTTGGAGTTGGAATTTCTCCATCCTCTCTGCAAGAGGGCTGGTCCCCAACTGATTTATATCCTAACCAAAATCTCCAATCTCTGAGCACATACAAATTGCATCATCGATTAACATATGATTTGTAGAAGATATGTTTGAGTTTGATATGTTTTGTTTTAATATGTTTCGTTGGGATATGTTTAGTGATGATATGTTTTGTATGTGATCCAAAATCTCCGAGCTGGAGAAACAAATTGGGTCAGTGCAGAAGGGCGAGGTAGGCGGGCAGTGTTAGATATCTCTGGCCAAAGGATTATAAGGGGGGGGGAGGGGGTGGCTACAATACGATTTAGAAACTATATATATTTTATGAAATTATTGTTTTCCCGAGATCATTTCTTAGTTCATCATATCTATTTAATAACATCAGACACTTTATCAGAAATATCACAATCTTCAAGATGCAAAATGAAAAAATTTCGATTTTTTTCGAAAAAAAATTTTTCAAAAATTTATCGAAAATGGTCGAAATTTTTGCAAAATGTAAGTTCGAGAATTTCGTCGAAAGCACATCGAAATTCGCAAAAATTTTAAACAAAATTTGGTCATTTTCATTCGTTCATTTTTGCGAATTTCGTTCAACGAAAATTTTGCATGGAAACCTTATTTTCCACTGAACATTTTTGGGTTAGACACAAAATCTTAACTATTTATATACCCCAGACATTAGGGGTAATCGATTTTGGATTTTTTTTGTAAATCCCCTAACCGCCCACTGCAGAGGTGCATTGTAAACATTTGGAATAGCCTTTATGCCAAATTAAAGCCTTCCAAGTTGAAAAGGCAGGAAATGAGGGGATATATCTCTATTGGTTGACTGTCAGGTTTTATGATTAATGAAACACCCTGTACATGATGCAATGATAAATATAAATAGCATCAGCTAAGAGAAACCTTTTAACTAGATTAAACATTTAAACACTTGTAAAATATGTATGTACAAATAATCTGAAATAATTTAAATCATCAATCAATCATATTTTCCTTGTCAATTGGGGAAATGGACCCTTATTCTGTAACCAATATGAGCTCTTAATACAGACCTGGCAGTTCTCATATGGACCCAGAGCAATGCTTAGATTGGATAGTTCTATTAATGCAACCCCTTCAGTCCTCATTTGGAACCAGAGCTAAGGTCAGATTGCAAGTAGCCCGGCCTATAAGCTTTTATAGCTATAGGTCAGACGAAAAGTAGGACAGATAATAAACTGCCTCATGTATTGTGTATTCAGATATTTGATCCGTTAAAAGATGCCATCCTAGAAAACATGTTTCAAATGTGTGATTCAAACTTGTGGAAAATCCAAGCCACCATTGACTCAAGTTCTATTTCAACTCAGGCAATTGGCTTGATCCCCAAGGCAGCATGATTAAGATTTTCCAGGCTAAAGCCAAAATTGAGGTTATTTGTTATGAAAGAGGAATACGAAAAAACCTATTTTTCATCTAGACACACAACTTTCTGTTTTTTACTCCTAAACTGCAACTTTTAGATGATAGATGCTTGGAGTTTTAGAATCAACAACTAAAAGTTTACGTATTTTTGTTAAGGAGCATATTTATTGGTTTTGATTTGCTCGAGGTATTATGAAATAAAAATTTATAAAAGTTACTGAAAATCGCAACGACAGTTATTCTTTATTTCGTCGATGTGCAATGTTCGTTAAATATATTGAACAAGGAATATTAAGATCTTGTTTTGTTGTTTGCACTGGTTGAGCGTAAAACCTGTTTCTGCAGAGTTGCAAATTTATACTGTCATGTTGAAGTGTTAGAAATAGGCACAAATTAAAAGACTGGGGTTTTAGGATCCCGGCTAGGGTATTTAGCGAACGAAATGTTTTGCGAAAATATTCGGTCGTATTTCGCAAACTTTTCGCGAAATATCGCATTTTTTCATGAAAATAAATGAGGCGAAAATGAAGTGAAGTTTCATTTCCCAAAATGCAAAAATTTTCTGAAAACCATGAGTGTCATAGCTGCAAAAATTAATAGCTCTACAGAACTTGTGCTCTGCTCCGATAGCTCAATATTTGCAGAATAGCTATCTTTTTTTATGAAATTTCGCTACTTTTCTGCTATAATTTTGCATTTATATTAAAGTATTCTGTATTTTACACGACATTTTTTTTGGCATAATTTTCATTTTTTTTCGCAAATTTGTTGCAAAATTTTCACACTATTTTTTCGCGAAATTTTCACATTCTCTATTTTGCGAAAATTTCGGATTTTTTCGCAAAACAGATTGAAGAGAAATTTCGCATTTTTTGCAAGCAAACGAAATGCGAAAATGAAGCGAAATGGTCAGG